TGACTGTTACAATACATTTGCAAATGTCCTGTATTTTCACAAGTATGTCCTTTTTGTTTCATAGATGAAACTGTGAAAGTCGATACTTTAAAAATACTATTAATATTAAAGACAATTAGTAACTATTAGCAGCTAAAAAGTATTGATTATGTACTTTTACGTGGGTTGCACAGCTTTTAGGACAAAAATGTCGACTATTGTCGTCTATAAGCGCTGGCAATCAGTCAAAATACAGTTTTATTGTTATGTATAGAATCTATTATTACATATAATAGACATTACAGGTCATTTTTAATTTGTTTTTACACGTGTAATTATCATTCTTCAAACTTTAATAAGTCAAAACAGCATGTATGACCTCATTTGAAATAAAGCTAGAAAACAAAACAAAACAGAGGTTATTTTATTTCTATTTTATGTTTTTTTACTGTATTTTATTTTATTTTTTATTTTTTGGTATCTGGCATCAACAGGGCTGGACAAAGATCTTCGATGTGACACTGTTTTTAAAAGTAATGAAATAGAATTGACTCAAACTTTATCGGTAAAATAACAACAACAACAACAAAAACATTTCATAATAAGCATCACTGTCAACTGGGGCACTACTGATTGACCGTTTTACAATAAAAGTTCAAAGTTGTTAACCGGAAGAGATAAGCTTTGTCAAATAAATCATATTACTGTTAACTTTGAGACTTTTTGTTCAGTAACACACTGACTGCAAATGTACAGTTTATGAAGCTTTATATGAAAATGGATTTCACATTTGTTGTTGACTGACCCTTAGTTTCGTTAAGTGGTTTATATGAAATACAAAAATAACATGGGGGAGAAGTCACAATTACTGAAATAATTCAAATTCCTGTGTAAAGAAGGAAGTGAGAGAACCGGGGTGCACACTCTGCTTCTCACAGCCAAGGTGTTAATCTAAAAAAGAACTGATTAGACACTTTATGATATGATTAAAAATTAAAATGAACAATAATAAATCATGCCCCAGATGAGAGACTTCCCCTTTAAAACAGCTGATGAGACAACATTGTGTGTCTAAAACAGTGGATGTGAAGTGCATTAAAAGTGGAATGGAAACTAGACAAGTCATCTCTCACCACAAGGAAACAACAAGAGCCCCGCACAAGTATATTTGTCACTTTATTCGCAGGTCTCACCCTGAGAGGACGACATGGATGTGTTAAAGTGGCCTTTGGTTTTCGGGTGCCTTTGTGTCAATGGTATGGTGCATTCACTTAAATGAGTTTTCAGCTGTTTGCTTTACGTCTTTATTTGTGCTGGAAAGTATGCAGCTTTGAGATGATTTTGTGTTTTGTTTCACACTGGTAGCTGCTTCGTGTCCTCTGTTTGTTCTGTGTCTAGGTGTCATTATGTCACATTTTCTTGTGCAATTTATTCCAGTTATTCAAACCGAAGCCTCGTCTTGGACGGTGAAGGTGCCCTCCTCGGTCAAAGGTCTCCCTGGCTCGTGCGTGGTGATCCCCTGCTCATTTAATTACCCAGATCCACCCAGAGAGGTCACTGCGTTCACCGGGGCATGGATGGACGACACCAACCACCTCATCTATCACCCGGATCAGACCAAAATGCTGGAACAGTATCGGAGTCGGGTGACGCTGCTGGGAGACCCCCGACACAAGAACTGTTCCCTGCAGATTGATCCGCTTCAGCAAAGCAACAGTGGGCCTTTTCATTTCAGGATTGAAATTACCGACTACGACAGCTATTCCTACAGAAACAATAAAGTCTCCATTTCAATGATCAGTAAGTAACACAAACAACTTGAAATGATTTAAAATACTGCTGCAGTGCAATGTAAGACACAATTCAGTCAATCACTTGTGAAGATCAGGCAGCAACAGCATCGGGAAAAATACACTGAAAACAACTTTTTTCTTTTTTAATTTTTACAAGATTTTTGCTGTAATTCAACAAAACAAGAAAACCCTCAATATACATTATTTTTCTTTTAAATGACGGCAAATATTTAGAAAATGCTAATATCTATTGGTAAATTAAATACAATGAAAATAAAGTAATTTTCTGACAATTATTTCTGTAATTTGACAAAACAGTAAATTAGTTTTTTTTTTGAATAGTTTTTATTGTTATTATTATTTCATTTTACTGTGCACAGTTTCCTTTTTAATTCCAATATGTTTGAGGTTAAACATTTTGCATTTGTATTTAGAGTTGATAAACCCTGACACCAGGCAGTCGTACTGATCACAGGTCAGGTGAGGGTCAGGCTGCAGTAGGACAAGAATAGTTTGGTTTCTTTTCTTACTTCACTTCAGAATGCATTTGTGTAAAATTTGAATTTCAAGCAAAAGGCCATTATATTTAACAGCATTTTATTACACATATAATCCAAAATTGTTTGTTTGTAAAGGCTTATTTCAGATGTTCTGGGAAATTCAGGTTGTGAAACTACAACCTCAGAAGCCACATTGTCTACAGAAACTATCTGGGTTGGACATGTTCATTATTGAGGTTTCAGCTGGTCCACTTTCAAGAACTGAATCTGCCCCCTTGCTTCCCTACTTTGCTATTATAACACACTGCCCTGCTCTATCTTTAAATAACTTTGTTTTTGTCTTTACACAGATGTTTCTGTTCGTCACATCAGTTCATGACATCTCGTTTATTTAACCCAAAGCTAGAAATCGCACAAAAAATCTTTGAATTTGCGTGAGCAGGATGTGGGCTGTTTAATTAGAGAACATTTTGGGGAACTGTCTTTGTGGAAACATAAAGCTACGCTGTCAAACAACACCAAGTTCCCATTCTGGCTCTGTTATATTTTTAATTTTTATTTGGAGGCAACCAGTTGAATAAAAGAGGAAATATCTGTCTTTTTAGACCTTTAGCTCTCTTTCGTCTATAATGTAACCTTATGTGGCTTCAGCAGACTCAGCGTTAGCAGATTTAAAACTATTTTCCCAACTTATGAGATAGATTAGATTAGATATGGGCTGCAAGGTGGAGCAGTGGTCAGCACTGTTGCCTCGCACCAGTGAGGATCTTTCTGCGTGGAGTTCTCCCCGTGCAGTGTGGGTTCTCTCCGGGTTCTCCAGCTTCCTCCCACACAGTCCAGAAACATGTTGAGGTTAACTGGTGATTCTAAATTGTCCGTAGGTGTGAATGTGAGTGTGCTTGGTTGTCTGTCTCTAAGTGTAGCCCTGTGATAGACTGGTTACCTGTCCAGGGTGTCCCCTGCCTTCACCCTGAGTCAGCTGGGATAGACTCCAGCCCCCCATGACCCTAGTGAGGATTAAGCGGTGTATAGATGATGGATGGATGGATGGATGAAGTAAAGATATTTAGAATTAAATCAAGTGAGGCCAGAGCTCAAATCTTTCTACATTCAGCAGCACAGCAAGCTCCTCCAGTGGACCTTTAATCCTAATTGTCGGTCTTGATCCGCCTTCTGAACGCAGGTCAACTAGATCCCATCAAATTCACTGTGAAGAAGAAGGTGAAGGAGGGTCAGACGGTGTCGGCCTTCTGCTCCGTGTCTCACTCCTGCCCCACCTTTCCTCCTGTTTTCAACTGGAATCGCAACGGAGAGCAGCATTTCAACTCCCAGCGGCTAAACGAAGGCCAGTGGGAAGCGACATCCACTCTGACCTTTCAGCCGACCCACGCCGACCACAACAAGCCTTTACGGTGCAACGTAACGTACAGAGGAGGGCAGCGTCAGTACGCCTCCGAGACCCTTGAAGTGAAATGTAAGTGAACACAAAAGCAGATGCTTCAAATACTGTAAGTAATAAAACTATTACTTTTCAAGGCTTCTGATGTCAACACATAAATCAAATCACAGATGAGGGAAAACTCTTAAAGAATTGGAGCAAAGAAGCACAAAGAGACTGAGGAGTAAATGTGAAAAACTATCCACACGGAGGCCAAAAGGAAAAAATGAGGCAACATTTTGTGTTGCAAAAAAAACAAAAGTTTTTTCAAATGATTTTACACTTGATTTTTTGTATTTTGAAAGTAGAGAAAATATTAATAAAATTGCAAAATATACTGTATATTAACATCTAATGTAAAACGGCATTAAGAAACCTGCACCTGTGACGAACTATAATTTCTGTTTTTAAAGAAAATTGTTCATTTTTCTACATCTTCACAGTGACAATGAACAGAAAAAAACGTGGCGGTTCTGCCATTCTACCTAATGTGCTCGTTAAATGAACCATATAATGTGTAATTACAAGCGTCATGACAACCGTACATGTGCAACTATCTTTCATTAAACATTAAATGGCTAGAAAGTGCATTTGAACAGTGTAAAACTACTGTGTTCTTGTTATTTTTGTTATTCTACAGTATTTCTCTGGAGCCGGAATAGGATTGTGTTTTATTATTGTTCCTCTTTTCTTTTTAAGAGTACTATGATGATGTTACATGGTGGATTTTTCCCAGTGTGGAAGCTTCTTTACCTACAAATGTATATTTAAAAACGCTGCTTCTTGAACTTGTTTCAGTCACTGTCATGGGATTCACAGTCATCGCGCTACTCATCGCCACTGGAAACACACCGTTATATTGTGTTGTATTTGTACTACATGGGCTTGTGGCGTGAAGGACGGCAGATATGATTTGCATGTTTGTATCTTAAACCTTCTTCATGTCATTTATTTTGCCTTTCCTGTCATTTCTTTCTTTCTTTTCTTTCTCTGTGGAGGGCAATAGTGGTCTGTTAGTGCCCCAGTGACCAGAACTTCACAACTACTGGGTTGTCATGATATTTTGTACATATGAGGTGTGTCAGAAAAGTTCCAGGACTGGTGTCACAAAAGATATATTTCAAATCCAAACTACAAGTAATCCCCCTGGAGTCTAACACACTTTCCCAGCCGTCTCTGCCGCCATGCACTCCTGGAAGGATTCTTTCGGGATCCTCCGTCGTCACAGCCATCTTGATGTCGTCCACGTCTTCAAAACGGGTCCCCTTGATGACCCCCTTGAGCCAGGTGGGGTGAGTCGGGACGTTGCTCCAGCTGGGGATGTTCTTCTCAGCCAGAAACTGTGGGATGCTCAGGGCGTTGTCATGGTGAAGCAGCCACGACTCGTCCTGCCACAACTCGTCCTGCCACAACTCTGGCCTCTTCTGAACGAAGCAAACGCTGTCCTGGAACTTGCTGACACACCTCATGCACGGTCTCCAGAGTGTTGTTATAAAATGAAGTAGCACTAAAAGTAAATGTTTCTCTGCAGTCACACCGGTGAACGTGAAGGTCGAGTACAAGTCGGATATTAAGGAAGGAGAAACGGTGCACCTGAAATGCTCCAGTGATGCTCATCCTCCTGCCAGCTACGTGTGGCTAAACGGGACAGGCGCTCAGCTGCATAAAGGAAACATCTACGTGGTGAAAAATGTCTCCAGACACCCAGGAGGAGACCTGTTCTGCACTGCCACCAATGCAGAAGGAGAACGCAAATCAAGCCCGGTGAAGCTCGATGTGTTGTGTAAGCAAACGGTCCAGTAGCAGTAAAGGAGATCTTCTTAGAATCGTGGCTACGTTCTGTCTCCTGACTACATCTCTTGTCCGTACAGATGCCCCCGAGATCAAAGCTGCCTCTTCGTGCTCCTCAGAGGGGAGTGTGGTGAAGTGCGTGTGCATGGCGGAGTCCAAGCCTCCCAGCACGGTCCATTTTGTGCTCCCCGACAGAGTTCTGCAAAGCACCAAAGTAGAGAAACATGGCTTGCTTACCATCGGGACTCTGCAGGCGGACGTCGGGTCTTGGAAGTTTTTGAGCTGCGTGGCGAACAACACGGTGGGCAACGCCAACGTCACGCTCTCCTTATCTGTGGACGGTAGGAAAAAATATATATAATTTCAAAAATTCAGAATAGATTGGACTTGAGAAAACAACACTCTGTTATTTCTCTTTTTTTGGCAGGTAAGATGCAGTATGTTTTCATCGCCATTGGAGCAGGACTGATTTTGATGCTACTTTTAATAGCAGTGGGAGTTGTTAAAAAATGGTACGTTACTTTAAAAAAAATACTTACTTCCAATGACAGTAAACAGAATACGGAAATTGGTTTTTAAATAGCATTTAAAATCAGCACACTTTAAGGCATAACACTAAACCAACACCAGGAATAAAGATGTGTATTTAAAAGGGCGAGTATGTAGGATGTCCGGAAGGATTTTCACAATAAGAGAAAAACAGAAGACCAACATTTTAACATTTTGTGTAAGAAATAAAATGACCGTAAAACAGATCTTATAGATATGCATCCAGCTGTACAAATTGTAAATATTTCTTTCAGTTCCTCTTAAATCAATGTAAATTATCAGTTGTTTTACCATAAACATAAACTATAGCATTCCAATCATTCAAACCTGAACTTAGATGCATTTAGGCTCCATTATAGGACAACTTTTCTGGTCCAAACGTGCACGGTCTACAAATTCAATGCATGCACGCTGCTGCTGAACACGGTATTGTAGCCATGTGTTGGTGGTGGAGGTCCATGCAGACTTGTGTGGATTTAAGGAGATGATTAAATTTATGGACACTTGCATATCCAGCTTTTTGCAGAAATAGAATATAGTATTAACAATTCCACTTTGTATCATCGCCTATGACTATGAATTATTTTGGTTTTGTTCGCATCGGATAAACTCTCTAAATCCTAATCTTAATCCAATCATGTCTTTAATGTGATGATTTGCATGAAGCTGGTTTGTCATGTGTTCCTGCAGATAAACACCATATATTCCAATTTCCAAACTCTCATGGACTTTAAGGCGTCTCCATTCTCAAGTAACCAGTTCCACCGGGGCTCTCATGTGAACTTTTGAAAGCTCTTGTGCACCCATCCTGTGACTCTCCTGAGGGAACTGTCCATAGTTCATAGCAAATCTGGTGACACTTAGTCGTCCTGCTCTCCAACAAAATGCACGCAAACTAAGCAAGAGAAGAAATCCAACAGCAAGTTTATCTGTGAGCGGCACAAACGGGGCCGCACACAGCTGTGGTTATTGATTACACGCTTATAGAGCTGTTTGCATTTTTAAACAAAGATAGGATTTACAGACATTCAAGGCTTTACTGACCTTTGGTGGTTTGCTAAAATATGTGTACAGGGAGTGATCAGCTGATCAAACTGAGACTAGAACCTGAATCCAGATTCACGTTTTGTTTTGTGCTTTCTAGCAACATGTGTTTTCATGATCGTGTGTTTTTGAGTCCTCATGAACTCACACGCTTAAGCACTACAGCTGTGATGTAGGTAGAGTTTGTGAGGACTAAGTTGGGCTCGTGTTGCTCCACCGTGTTGTTTCTGCAGCAGTCCTGAATAGACAAACACCGGTTCTAGGGAGGACGTTGCTCCTTTTTCGTACAAAGGTGAATCCAATTCCAAAGAGGTGGGAAAACATGGGGGAGTTTGCAAATTTAGAAAAAAATTTATATGTTTTAACAGTCCATCGACATGACTTTGATTAACACTGGAGCATAGTGTCAGCTTGCATAGTCATGTTCAGCTTTGCATCAGAGGGCTTCAGTGGTTGTGAAAACGGCCTTTCTCATAAATTAAAACCCATTTTCCTGCCAGTAGGGGGAGAGCTGTGGACGCAACAGTATCCAGCATGAGCACCACAAAGACAGAGAAAGCCGTGGATCTCCCTCAGTACTCCACAACAAAAGCAAGAGTTCGCCCCAGTCCAGAGTAAATAAAACTTTAATCCTTATTTAAAACAACAACATGAAAAACTAATGTCACATAATCTTGTGTGTCTAAAAAAAAACATCTTTCTTTCTGCATTTTTCCCCTCAGGAAAGAGTGCTATGATGATGTTGACTGCGGTGGCATTTACGCCAACGATCACATATATGGCAACATGGAGGTATGTAAGGTTTCATTCATTCATTCATTCATTCCTTATATACATGCATAAAATAAGAGACTGAGTTATTTTTTTTCTTCTACAGGCTGACGAGGATGATGCCGTATACGCCAACGTGTAAAACGTGCGAGAAAACAGTCCATCCATGTGTCGTCTAACCAAACATATGCTATTTTTTTTTTGTATATATACCACAAAAACATTTTTATTTTTCTTCCCTACTATAATTCACATATATTTAATTTGCTGGTTGACATTCAGAAGTAACCAAATACTTTATGCACTTGTGCTTGTAGTTGCTGTTTCTCTCATTCATGTCCTTGTTTGTGTGATCATAGAAATACATGAGAAATCGCCATTAAACTTTGTCATAACTTACTTGGAAGTATGTTGCTAACTTGTTGTTATCACCGCCAGCTATTCAATACGACAACACAAGGTACACACTGAATTTCCTCTTTCACCGAAGAGATTGCTTCATCTGAATTTCATGTAACAGCATCGATTTTGAAAGTAAATAATGACACATTAAGGGCATTTTAATGCCGTAACAGCTGAGTTTTGAGTTCAAAAATATCTGCATGTATGAATAAGTTGTAGCAGCAGCAGCTTAAATGCACCTTATTCATCAGCCACGACATTGAAAGGGAAACCTTTTTAGACATGTTGAGGTCAATGTGGGAAAAAACCTATGTGTGGCTGTAAAGTGTATAAATGATAAACTGACAGGAAGGCGAAAGAGGAAGCTAGACACATCTTGGCTGATAGATAAGAGCGGCAAAAGGATCAGACTCACCTTGTGATTGTGGCATAAACCTCACACCTCAAAGACGCAAAACTGCCCAAAATATAATATAGAAATATATACAATGTACTATACAATAATCCTCAAATGTATTCATCCCCTTCCATTAAAGAAAAGGCAAAATTCACAACAGTCACTCAAATAACTAGAAACTGAAAAAAGTAGTAATAAATAAAAATTTGCTAAATTATAATTTTGTGAAATAAGCATTGCTTTTGAATTGTGGTTGAAAAGAATAATAAAAAAAAAAAAAAAAAACTGCCCTGGATTAAATGAGAGCACTTTTCTGATGAGCAGTGGGCCAAAATACCCGTCAACAGATGCAGACGTCTGATTGAGAGTCACAGAAAACACTTGACTGCAGTAATTGGCTCAAAGGGTTGTTCATTAGTTTCCAGGTCGCATCATGCTTGTTAACTTGTGGGGTTTTTTTTTCTTCTTTTTTAAAATTTCTGTTGAACCACAATTTAAAAGCAATGTCATGATTTTCATTACGTTTTTATTTATTATTATTACTTTTGTCAATTTCAGCTTATTTCAGTGGCAGCTGTTTTTTTCCTTCTTTAATGGGAGGGTATGAATACATTTGAGGACGACTGTAGGTATAAAAATAACCTAAATATCATAATATATTAGTCAGTAACACAAAATACAGCCTCAATGGGTGCACAAAGATACATGGGAATGTTTAATGCTTTAAAAACTTAGAATAAAAGTATATTCTCAGACAAACGCTGAATAAATATAAAAGAAAAACGACACTATGACGAGAAAATTACAGGAAAAGAGAAAAAATAAATAATTTATGTTCTCAGAAAACTAGTTCCTATTTTTCATTTCTGGTCATTCTGTTAGCAGTGAAATGTTCTGTGTTTCCTAATGGAGTGATCTTATCTCTTACTTTGCTCTCTGGGCCTGGAGTTTGTACTCTGCAAATTCAGTTTGCTCTTCTGTTGTTGTACTTTTCCACGAATACAGTCAACTCGCTCAGCTCTAATTCCTCTTTCATAGCTGAGTGAATTAGCTTTCACTTGTGTTTCTTCTAAGATTCAGTTTCTTTGAACGTCATATTTAGAGTTTCGCTTCAGTCTTGAAAATTGTGTCTGCATTGTGAACATAGAAGCCTTGGAGACATGACCTGTTGCAATATGCCATCACTTTTTCCAGTGACAGGCCTTGCAGTTTACTCCTAGGCCTTCAGTGGCGTCCTGCCTGAATCAAACCACCTCTGAACACCGTCATTATGACGCCACAGCTATAGAAACCATCAGTATGATGCAGAAAGGCAGCATAACAGGACGTTGCACCGCAGACAGGTCTCTCATGTAGCGAGAATGAATGTCATCACTAAAGCCAGAAACCCAGTTAAAACAATCCAACGAGTCTCCTTTCACTGCACCACATACATCACATCTAGCAGGAGCATCAGCATCAACCCAATAAAATGACAAAAACACATATTTTACTCACTAAAACATGCGACTATTTGAACACAACCTCCATCCTCCTTTCTTTCCTCATGAAGAGTTCAGTCACTCTGTTGAGCAGCTGATCCGTACGTTTCATTTCCAACAATAAGTCCTGTCCTATCGCCATGGAGGCTAATGCTGGAAGTCGGGTCTGTCCAGCCGTGTTTCTGGCACAAGTTTGTGCAGTGTCCGAAATCACTCCCTATGCCCTACATAGTGCACTATATAGGGTGCACGCCATTTTGTAGTGTTGTTCGAATTCTCAGCGGTAAATTTCATCCACTATATAGT